GGGCTGTAGCAAGACATACCCATGCACCGACCCTGGAACCCAAGAAGGGTGGGAAAGCTCTGCCACATTTCTGTGACTGAGCGCCTCAGCACCCAACCAGGGAGTGTGACCCAGTCACTTGCAAGGTTGGTCTCCCACACTAAGGGATCACTACTGCATTTGAGTGACCCAGTGAAGGGAAAATTGCTTCCCAGAACACAACTCCTATTTCTTTGAATATAAATGTGCAGTCACTCCTCTCTGCACCGCCACCCAGGAAACCTCCATGCTGAAAAGTGACTTTATATCACGTGCCTAAACCGAGATAGACTGTAAGTCCACACATTATTCCCTCTCACCTCGTGGGAATATGGCTAGACTGAACTTGATCTAGACAACAAGACCATTTCTTCCTGAGCATGGAAAAAGGAAACCCCGGGAAGTTTCCTCCTGTGCTTCTTTATGGATTAACAGTGTGGTCACTTACCCAAGAGACTTGGTCTGAATTCTGACAGGTGATAAAGGGAAAAGCACTAATATATTAATACCAGGAAAAGCGTGAATGGTTCACAGTGGGGAAAGGACTGTCAGTCCTTGCCCCCTAGAGTGTCTAAGAGAACTATACTTGGAATCATTAGACCAGATGTAAAGCCACATCATGATGATGATTGGAAAAGCCTTCAGAACTCTTCTATCAAATCTGTTTGAAGCTGATTTATTTGTTTGGCTTAAAAACTCTGGAAAATCTGGAGGAAACTTATGACTCGGGATCCCAAACCTTGTCTCAGCAGTAGCAGACTGGCATTGTGTGGGTCGTGACTTAACAGGCTATGCTTATTTTTCTGGTCCTTTTCTAGGTACCCTCTGTGCTAACCTATGTGACTTTTTTGTTGTTGTTGTTCTCATAAGGACGGAGACCTTGGCCTTGTCCTTTGCTTCCAGGGCCTCATGAGGCTTCTGCATCTCACTCGATGTCTCTGTGTGAATTAGTAAAAGACATGCTCCTTGCTCTAAGCATGCACGTCTGCATCAGAGTGCATTTGGAGCAAGTGCTGATTTCAGCCCTCACCCAGCCCTCCCTGGGCAGGGCCTCCGTGATAGGACATAACCCATGCACCTTCATTCAATGATTCCAGGGCTTCCAGTTTTATTCTGGAATACCAGCATTGCCGGTAATTGTTCTGATGCCTGAAGCTGACTTCACCGAGCTGAACCTCCCAGAGTGTTTTATTTCTAGATTCTCCATTACTGCTGTCCTCTGCTCGTCTGCTAGGATCCTTGTATTCATCAGCACTTTTTCAGTTTTGAGCTGCGGGACCCCACTCAAAATGATTTCCTGGGTGAAAGAAATGTATTGGCTCATGCAAATAAGGTGACCAGAGGTGACGAGTGATACAGACGTGAGGGGACTAGGTAGACTATCAATTGAAATCCTTTACCTCTGCTGAGTTGGAATTACTCTCAGGCAAGCTCTACCTTTCTACAGGGAAGCTGACTCTAGAAACTCCAGGTCTAGATTTAAAAGTCTCATCATTGAGCCTTGTTTGACCAATCTGAGAAGAGTTGAACTAATCTTCATGTCCAAGGCCACGGAATATGATTGGTCAAATGTAAGCCCTTCTCACATACAGGAGGCTTAAAGGGAATGAGCTGCCTGTATCGTTTAAGTATTGCTTATTGCAGAGAGACAAACCATTCCATATTTTGTTGCCTAAAATAATGGTTCATTATTTCTATGATTCTGTGAGTTTGCTGAGTTCAGCTAGGCAGTTCTGCCTCTGGTCTCCCACACTGCTGCATCCAAGTGGAACTTGGCTAGCACTGAAATGTCTACGATGGCCTCTTGTCACCGTGGCCTCTAGTCATTCCATTGTTTGGCTTGGACTTCTTTATGCATGCTAAAGGTCAGGAGGAATGGCCTCCATAGTTCTTGTCATTTTCCTGAATTGTGCTGAAACAGCATCACTCCCCCTCGGTACAGAAGACTTCATTCTAAGTCATTGGAAACAGGGAGCAGGACAGCAGGTGTTTTATTCACATTCAGTATCTCTGATTGTTTTTGTTTTGTTTTGTGGTACTGGAGATTGAACCCAGAGGGGCTCTGTCACTGAGTTACATATACAGCCCTTTATATATTTTAAATTTTGAGACAGGGTTTGGTAAGTTGCTCAGACTAGCCTCAAATATGTGATCCTTCTGCTTCGGCCTCCTGAATTGCTGGAATTATAAGTGTGCACTACCACATCTGGCTTCTCAGCTTGTTTTCACATTCAGATCCTATACATATATCAGGCTAGAAAAATCTGTGCTGAGTTTACTTTTATGTTAATAACTGTCATGAGTCCACCATTTCTACTAAGGCTAACTAAAGAAGCTTTGGTGGGTGTTTGTAATGCCAATAATGTCCCTAGAGAATACTCTTTCCATTCCTATTAGCATTGTAAATATTTATCTTCAGCCTCTCAGTTCTTAACTTTCCAGGTTCTGAGTGTGACACTAACTTTTAAAAAAATCACCAAAGGGAGCTGAGGTGTTTGAGAATGCTATTGTAGTCTCTGTCTACTAGATTTCCTGGAACAAAATTTTTTGTTGCCATAAATGGTAGTAGGTAGTCAGATATGGATGTAGCTCAGTTGTACCAAAGCTAGTGTTTCAATCCATCATTACCTTTCTTCCTTTTTCTTTTTTTCCTTTTTTCTTTTGGTACTGGGAATTGAATCCAGGGATGCTTAACCACTAAACCACATCCTCAGCCCTTTCTTATATTTTATTTAGAGACAAGGTCTCACTCAGTTTCTGAGGGTCTCACTAAGTTGCTGAGGCTGGCTTTGAACTCCTGATCCTCCTGCCTCAGCCTCCCAAGCTGCTGTTATTACTGGTGTGTGCACCTAACTACCTTTGCATTATAAACCACCTTGAAATGTACAGCAGGGAATACGATGTGAAAATGTCACCTGCCTCCATTCTAGGGCTCATTTAGTAGAGAGAATAACAGTCATATAATTCAGACTGTGTGCACTGAGAGAGGGCTGAGTGCTCCAGAAATTCAAGGAGCAGAGGAATGGCTTCATGTTTGGGCAATGAACAAAGCCTTCACAGAGGAAGGGCCGTTTCAGCTGAGTGCTGAATACTTCCGATAGGTAAGAGTAGCACTCTTTAGAGGGTGCAGTTCAGGTATGAACATAAAGAAGAAGCTGGATGAAACAGAGAGCAAAGCAAGTAGGTGAATATTTGTGTTCCCAGTATCTTATTTGGTGACTGGCACAGAGTTAGGTGCTCAATAAATATCATATGCCCTGACTCATTGGCAGGGTTTTTTTTTTTTGGGGGGGGGGTTGTTTTTTTTTTTTTTTTTGGAAAAAAAAAGAAGAAATGCTGTTTTAAATGTAAATATTGACTAGAAGACATACTGTATGACTAGCTGACCGGACTGGCGATATGAACTGGGTTCAAAGGACCTGACTATATCAATAACTAAGAAAACCACACAGCACACTAACATAAGTTTCTGAGGCAGGACGGCTGGGCTGGGTGACCTCAAGGGTCAGCTCCAGCACTGGAAGAATCAAGAGAGCGAGCATACCACAAACCTCCTATTTATTGGGGAAAAGACATTTGAGAAAGTTCTACCCATATAAAGCAAGGGATTGGGTTTCAGGGGGTTACCCATCCCCATTAGGTAATGTCTGGGTAGGGCTTGAAGCAGGTTCTGTTGCCGACCGAGGGTAAAGGCCACTAGCCCTGCACAGCTTTTGCGTGTGCACCAGACTGCTACCTGTTGAGAGCCACAGCCAAAGGGGCCCCAGCAAACTTCCAGCTGCCGGCTGATGATTGGCTCACAGTGGCCCCAGCAACATCTAGCTGATTGGCTCCTCTGCGGTGATGTTCATTGGGCTGTTTCCCTGCCCTTCAGACTATGGAACTGCTCATTGGGGGACTTCTTTGGCTCCACTCACGCAACCCAGCCAATCAGCCTCAAGAGCAGGAGGATTGGGGGAGGTGGTGAGGCTGGTGTGGGTGAGAGGCTTGTGGAAGCCAGTGGTGGCAGTTGGGCTCTGAGGGTTTTTTTCCTGAGGAGCTGTTTTGTTTGGCATTTGTAGTTCTAAAAATAAAGTTAGTTTCTTTTGACAAGTGGCTCCTGAATTGTGCCGAGCCAGACTTCGGCAGCTACCTCCAGTGCTCCAGGCAGGGAGAGCAAGTTCAGCCCAGGGGCGATGGGTGGCTCTCCACAATATTGATTTCAAGATCTATAAATTTCGAGAACCAAGTACCTTTCTGATCTCAACCACCTGGTATTGATGAATTTGAGTAGACATGGCCTTTGAGTACTATAGCTGGAGAGGTTGAAATGGAATTAGATTGTGTGAGTGCCAGGAATCTAGACTAACAACAGGAAGTGTGCTAAGCTATTTTAAATATTGTTTTATTTAACCTCAGCAATCTTGGACAAGGGTTATTCATCTCAACTCACTGATGAAGAATGCAAGCTTGGAGAGGATTTAAAACCTTTTCCAATGCTAAATTGCTAGTGAGTAGTAACATTGTGTTCAAACTCAATATAAAAGTAATTATATATTTAATGTGGCTGTTTTGTTTTTCTAATAATACTGTGCCCCTTCTTAGTTGTGCTAATTTATTGACTCCAAAAACTAACAATTGACTTATTTAGGAGGGCAGAGGAGTTATACTTTTGTGTTAGGGTTTGGACCCAGGGCCTTATGCATGTTAGGTTTTAGCTCCGACTCACTGAGCTAAACCCCAGCCCAAAAGTTCTGAGAAGAATTACATTTATTTTGGTTAAGGTGCCCAGACAGAACCATATTTTTTAGTTTGTTTTTCTTTTTTTTTTATCAAGTTCTCTCTGGTAAAATTTCATCAGAATTCAGTTGTAACAATTTTTTATCAAAATCAAAACACCCCCCACCCCATTCTCTAATGAACTGGAGAAGTTTCCAAAATCTTAGAGGATAGGAAAGCCACAAGATGGGAACAGCTGGGACTCTGAGTGATCACTTGGAAAGCAGCCAAGTAATCAAAAATAGTTATTAAACATTACTTGTGTAAGGGGAAAAAATCCTCTATTTTATTAAATTATGGAGATGTGAGAATCATCTATTCCTGGAACTGGTATTATTTTAACTAATCAGTTGCTAATATGTTTCAATCAAAGTTATGAAGCAAATAGTGAATATGAAGAAAATGTATTTATTTGGATTTGTGATTTGGATTGAATAGTTACGAGTATTTGAATTATTCAATGACATATAAAGTAAAATTACCAAATGAACAGTTCTAATGTGTAAGTACATTTCCTAAGACACCTAACAATCATTCAGTTCACTTTGGGTATATTTCCCCCTCAACTATGGGTGAAATTAGAATCATTTTGAGTACCCTTCCTCCCAAATACATTAGGACAAATCAAAATGAAAGGGAGGGACCTATACACTGTGGGAAGTCAGAGTGATCTGCTATCATCAGCTTTGATTCATGAAACAGGTATAATGTGAGACCTTGAGATATGGAAAAGACTTGGATGGTCAGAAAGAATGCAGTACATGTGGGCAGAGGGCAGACATCAAGAGAAAAGGCACAGGAAGAGCCATATGATAGACATATGTGGGGTAGGGGGGAAAAGAGCCTGGCAGGTTCCAAAGGCAAGTGAGATAAAGAAAAAGCAGTGAGCGACTGGACAGGACTTAGTGCTGACAGTGGAGGACCAGGAAGGTCATCTGACATTGGAGAGGACAGATGCCACAGTGAGACCCATTTGAATGTCAGTGTTATAACCAGAAACTGGGGTAATACCAACAGAAATGCAAGTCTGGAAACGAGACATTTCAAAGAAGGACTGTAAAGATTTTAAAAATCATGGGATGTAATGAAAATTACATCCATTACATTAATTACATTAATAATTAATAATTAATTACATTAGTGAAATTAACCTGGTGCCACTGGTAAAACTGAGGAGCTCTGGGAAGATAGCTAAGTTGGTGGGGAGGTTTGGACATCTTGAAACTGAAGTGGGACGACAACAAAAATAGCAAAACTGAAGGACAAGGGAATACTGATTGTGGAGATAACTCTGTGCTGAATAGCTTCCTTCTCCTGCCCTCATCTACGCTAAGCCCTTTTCTACCCTTCTCTATTCCCCAAGAGGAAGGTTTGTAGGACCTGGTACCCCAAGCTGAAATGCTTTGTCTTCTGGTTCCCAGTAGAGTTTAGCCAAAGACACAGACTGAAGGGATGCAGGAGGATAAAGCTGCAGTACTTCTCCCAGTGTTAGGATCTGGCTACTCCACCATTAACTCAAGGTCACAGCTCCTGGCCATTAGCATACAGGCTTCCAATGGCGTTCTCAGGCGGCAGGTAATCCAACCATTTTCCCTTCTCAAGGTGCAAGAACCCAGCCCAGCGCAATAACCGGACACTACCAGCGCAACTCAAATAAGAGAGATCAGAGTGGAGAACTCCAAGTACCGCACTCGAATCAAGGAGCAACTAAGCGTTTCCCAGCCTTGAAAAGAATTACTAGGGGAAAATAAGTAAGTAACCACCACGTGCCAGGCAGTGGGGTGTTTTCCCTTCGTTCATTGCATTTAACGACCAGCGCCCATAGTAAACGGGTTATAATATGTGCTGAACCAGAAGTCAGAAGCAAAGGTTCAGGAGTTCGGAGGGGAAGGAAACTCCCAGGAGCGAGTGTGCTGGGGGCCCAAGCGGCACTGTGGAGAGGAGACGCTGGGGTGCGCGTGGAGGGAGGCGCAGAGGCGCGCGTGCAGAGGCCACGCGCTTAGTCTCCGCATCCTGCGCGCTGCCGGCTGCCAGCCGCTGGGCCAGCAATCATGAGGACCAAGCAAGTGAACTTGCTCATCTCCTTCGTCGCGGTCACGCTCTTCAGCTTCTCCTGCTTCTGCATCTCCAAGCTGACTCATACTTGTAAGCAGCGGGCGGCTTCTCCAGCCCCACTAGACACCCAACCCGGCTTCCAGGCTCCAGGAGTGTGGGAGTGGCCGGGTAGGGGAGTGGGGTAGACCGGGCACCTGGTGGCGTTGACCTGCTCGCGTTTTAGGATACCGGCGTCGTGTTTTGCAACTGAAGTGCCCCAGGCCCGCGTCTGGCCGGCGGTTAAGCTGTAACGGGCGCACCTGGTCCTCTGTGCGGTGACCATGACCTGCCCCGCGCGCGCTAACGGACCTGGAGGCGGCCGGGACCTGGGCCAGTTGCTCTGTGGCTTCAGTCCCTCCAAAGGTCCCGGCCGATTCTCGCCTGGGAGGCTCCTTCCCCTCCAGTGGTCCACGGACTCAACCTAGGTCCCGTCTTCCCTCCTCTTCTTCCTTCTCTGTCGTTTTCAGAAACGAGTGCCAACGTCTTTCATTGTCTACAGGAGGGACGATTTAGCAAGCAAAAATAAACATTGCCTAGTAAAACTGAATTTCAGATGAAGAATGATTTCTTTTTTTAGTATAAAAAATTGCATGGGACATAATTCTAACAATTTGTTCCTCACATATCTGAAATTCAGCTCTAACTAGGTGTTTTGTTTGTCAACCCTACTTGTAAAACAGTTGACGTTTAGAGTTCACATGATAAAAAATTTAAGTTTAAGACAGGGACGTTGTAAATTATTGATCCAGACTTCCAAAATTGCATTAGGTTGTTTTAGGTTAAATTGTCACTTTTTCTATTGAATGCATTTATATGACTCAGGTACACACTAAGTGATCTAGGTTAGCAGTAGGTTAAAGGTTTAAATTTGAGAAGGGCTCCATATTTGTGTTCTCTAGGGTCATTGTGTACACAAAATACCCACATACTCATTTCTCATTTCAATGATTAGCAATGTACATTAATTTATCTGATTTATAAAATTTCCCCTAGTCTCTCATTAAATCATTTCCATCTGTGATTTATGCATTATCCAAATGCATTTTTATGAGCACATTTATAACAAAAACAAGTGGTTTCCTGAAATTAGAAAGCAAAATGTAAACTTACAGTAATTTTGGAAGATAATTTAGAATAGTAGTTTCAGAGGATGTTTTGGGACCACTAATATTCTTATAATGAGATTGTAGACTTTGAAATACAAATCATTTTGATATGTTTTCTAGTTATGATCAGAAAGAAGAGATTTGGTTCCTGAAACCATTTATATTACTGCCATTCAGATATTCAAGCTAAGAAAATGGGATACAGTTCTTGAAAATAAAACACTTTTAATTTAAAATAGCAGCTAAATTAGATTTTTCATTTTCTATGTATATGTTTCTATGGTGCCTACCTCTTAAATAACTAGAAAATCAACCCTATAATGAGAGATATTCTTACATCAACAAAAGAAAACAGACATCACTTAGTTTTTGATGTAGTGATTTTTTATAAAGCACCTAGTATTTTAAAAAAATTGATCTGTAAGTTGAATCACTGTCAATGGAAATTTGGGGATATGTATGTCACAGCCAGGAGGCCAAGGGGAACAGGAGGGTGATAGAAGGATGATGTCATAGGGACCAAGAAATTGACCATGGGTTGCATTCTGTAGAAGACAAGCGCTGTGGGAGGGTTTTATGTAGAGGAGAGGCATGTACTCACATATATTTAAATAACTACTGATGTGGACTGTGACAGAATCACAGAATGCTTCAAGAATTTTTGGCTTACAGTAGATTCTTCAACCTTAGCACTATTGATATTTTGCATTGGATAGGGGTTTTTGTTTTTGTTTTTTGTTTTTGTTTTGTTTGTTTTTCCTGTTAGGCTGGTTGTCCTGTATGTTTAGTAGTATCCGGGCTCCATTCAGTAGAAGCCTTTGGTAACACCCCATTCCAGCTGTGACAATCAGTGCTTGAGAGCCACTGGTTTAACGGGAGAAATGGAGTTGCCATTTACTGAAGTGGGGAAGCAGCAGATTTGGGAGATTAAAATCAATATTTCTGTTATGCATGAAATACCTAATAGACTTCAAAGTGAAAAAAATTCAAGAGGCAATTGGATGTTTCAGTCTGAATCAGGACTGGCATATTTTGGGGGGAGATGGGTACTGGAGATTGAACTTAGGACACTCAACCACTGAGCCACACTCCAGCCCTATTTTGTGTTTTATTTAGATACAGGTCTCACTGAATTGCTTAGCATCTTGCTTTCGCTGAGGCTGCTTTAAACTCGAAATCCTCCTGCCTTAGCCTCCAGAGCTGCTGGGATTACAGGCATGTGCCACTGTGCTCAGCATGACTGGCCATATTAACTTGAGACTCCATGTGGTGTTTAAAGTCATGAGATTTGGAAAAGACCACCTAGGGAATAGATGAAAAGTTCCAAGAAATAATCCTTGGCGGAATTCCAGTAGCTCAAAGTCAAGGAAAAACTAGAAAAGGGAGAGAGTGAAACCAAGAAGGTATTTCCAGGAGGAGAGCACAACAGTTTTAAAATGCTGAGAGATGGAGTGAGTTCTCTCTAGTGCAGTAATAAAAAAACCACCTTACCCACAATCCTTAAAAGTCATCACTCCTGTTTTATTGGTGAATGCCGCAGCCACTTGATCTCCAGGGTCTCAATTGAAGTAGATAGTTCATCATTACCACCAAGACAATTTAGATCATTATTTTGCCAGTGCATATCGTGGACTTACAGTATTCCATTTTGGGGGAGCAGCATGGCAGGTTATCACTGCATTCAAGCCCAAGATTTTCTCCTTTGAGACCTTGTTACTGGAGTAATGCAGCTACCCCAAGGGCCCCTAGTTACCTCTTTTGGAAAAGCCAGCGTTTGCCTGCCACTAACACTGGATTTGGAGCTAGCATGTGGTTGCTGCTGTTGCCACTGTCTGAACATCTGACAGTCCAGCAAAGGCTGGCTCTTTGGTGGAGGAAACACCAAAAGCAGAATAACATCCCCCTTACATACACCCTTTACTGACATAACCGCCTTCCAGTGGCAAAATTTAAGAACACCTCTGGCAAGGGAGTCTGAGGCAAATAGCAGATTTTTACTTTTGTTCACAACAAAAGTAATTTAGAAAAATCAATTAAAAAGTCCTAGAAAGTCCAGGAACAAGGAAAATTAAACCACATATTATGTAGGGGCATATGTAAATATGATAAAAATTGTACTCCAAAAAGCAAAGAAATGATAAACAGATACAATTCAGGAGAGTGGTAACATCAAGAGATAGGATAGGAAAGGAATCCACCATAATCAAAGGCTTGGGTGACGAGTTAGCTGTACTCATTTCACATCACGCTGTATTATATCTTTTCTTTTGCATGTATACATTTTTTAAATGGGAAGAATTTGAATGGTGAGAATATAGAAGCAAGAAAATGGAAATGATGGTCACAGAGTACCTAGCTCACTAGAGAAGATAGGAGCAATTAAAACATTTTTTAAAAAAATATTTATTTTTTTGTTGTAGTCTGACACAATACCTTTGTTTTATTTATTTTTATGTGGCGCTGAGGATCGAATCCAGGGCCCCGCATGTGCGAGGCGAGCACTCTACCGCTGAGTCACAATCCCAGCTCCAAAAAACTTTTTGAAAATGTTTTTAAATGAACATTAATATGCTTTTATATACATATGTGGTTGATTTATTAAAATCAACTAATGTGGTTCAGCTAATTGGGATACAAATAAGAATAGCTTTTTCAATGTTTCTAGTAGCTCTTCATGTGTTCTATTTAACTCCCTTACCTGCTTAACTGCAGTTTCCTGGGGATCATGAAGACTCACTTTGTCTTTTTAGGGTAACTTTTGTTTATCCATACAGTCTCATTTGTGCTTCTAAAGTTTTACTCTTTTCAAGTCTTCAGTGGCATAGTCATTAATGGTTTCTTCTCTGTTACCTCCTGGACAGACTAGACTGTGGCTCTAGAAGGAAAAGGAATGGCGGGAGAAGAAAGTGGTCTGCTCTCAGACAACTCCTTGTTGTTTGGTGTGAAACATCCTTAAAATTCAGGGACTCTAAATAATCATTTTGTTTAACTCTTGACTTAGGAATTTCAGGAATTCAGGAAGGGCTCACTGGATGGGAAGTGGTGACAGCCGGACACGTGGGGCTGCCTCTAGTAGATCAGCTAGATCCACTACCAAGAAGTCTCTTGCACACACCGGTGTGGAATCTCTCCTCCCCGTGAGGCGGCTCATCCTCCAAGGCCTCTCCACATGGCATTGTGGTCATAGCAAGATTGTACTTTTTTTTTTTTTTCCTATAAGACAGCTACCCTTCGAAAGGCAGAAAGTGGAAGCTGTCCCACCAAGTGAAGACTATACTCCAAAGTGGTAGAGCATTACTACTGCTGTAGTCAAAGTGGTCACAGGGTGTACCCAGATTCAAAAAGAAAGAGATGGTACCTCTTGATCAATGATGGAAAAGATCACATTGCAGAGCACCATTTGACAGGGAAGTTGTAACCATCTTTGGCAACTATAATCTGCTACACCAATTCTCCTTTTCTGTACTTCTCCTATGGAATTGCCCTGGGAGGGAATGGGGGAGCCAGGGGTTTCCTTGTGTGTTAGCAGTGTGGTGGTTTGGATTTCTCTAGAAGATGCTTCTCTCTGATGGCATCCAATGCTGATATATCCAATGCTGATTGTCTTCAGTGAGGTTGCTTGTGGCTGCTTCTGAGGGCCTGCTGGAATCTCCCCACTGACCATTTCCTGGTCTAGGCTGTCCATTTCCTACTTGGGCCTTTCCTCCCTCCCTCTGACATTGCCATAGCTCCTTGATCCTTAGGCGACTCCCTTGTAGATGTCCTGTAATATTCTCTGGAGCCACAGCAATACTTGCATCTTTGCCACTTCAGGCTTTGCGCCTGCAGGCTCCTTTCAGAAACGGCTCAGGGCTTAGCATCTCCGCTCCCTCTCTCCTGCTCCTCATCATCTGGCAGCATGAGATTTCTTATAGTATAGTGGCTCTGTAATTTCTAGTAGAGATG